AGAGAGGGTGACGATATAGAGAGAGAGAGGGTGACGACAGAGAGAGGGTGACGACAGAGAGAGGGTGACGACAGAGAGAGGGTGACGACAGAGAGAGAGAGACGACAGAGAGAGAGAGAGAGAGAGAGAGAGAGAGGGTGACGATATAGAGAGAGAGTGACGACAGAGAGAGGGTGACGATAGAGAGAGAGAGAGGGTGACGATAGAGAGAGAGAGAGGGTGACGATAGAGAGGGTGACGATATAGAGAGAGAGAGGGTGACGATAGAGAGAGGGTGATTTAGATAAACAAGTAGGGCAAGAGTTCTAACGGAGGGAAAAGACAGGAGCCGGTCTCTGCGGCCAGAGGAGGAATCAGGAGAAGACGAGTGTGGAAGGAGACGGTGGTTAATCGAGAAACCATCTGTTATGACTTGTCTGAGGTACACAGTGTAACTTGTCTAGGTGAGAGTTCAGAGGAGGACATCTCTGAAGGGGGGGGGGGGGGTGATGCAAATAAATCTGCGTGAACTGAAGACAATCCACTCTCTCGTGTGTTCTGTGTTGGTTCCTGAGCTCCTAGCAGTGAGACGCTGTGGTGTCTCACCACGCGTCAGACAGAGAACAGTTACTGAGCCAGCCGACAGGTAAAGTCAAAGAAGCGGCTCATAAACAGGAAGAACCCACAACAACCTCTTATTTTCAGTGTTGTCTGCCGGTGAGGCTGGAGGCGGGGCTTCTGCTGGTTTCGGCTGCTCTGCAGCCGGCGGTGTGATCTCCTGAGTCTTCTTCTTTGTGCTCGTCATCTGCAGCAGAGTGGACTGAGTCTGGAGAGGAAATAAAAGCAGAGAGGAGTAAACACCTCCAGTCTGGAAACACAGATGCAGAATACGTACGAGGAAATCTACAGCACTCAGTCTTATATAGGCAATTTAAATACATATGTTTTTGATCATCTTGAGGTCACCACATTGCTTTCCCTATCATAAATAAATCAGACATTTAAAACATTACAAATTAGAATGAAAATAAAGTAATGTCAAAATGTAAAGCAACACGATCCCCCAAAACCCACCTGCAGGGATCAAACTGCCAAAACTAAGCGGCTGTAAAGCTGGATAAGGATACCTTGGCTTTGGCCCTGGGGGCCAGCGGTTTGAGGACGGGGCCTTTGTGTTGTTTCCCTGCAGAGCCGCTGAGTGGAGACGACTTCCTGCCGGACGTCATGTTGTCCAAGATGTTCGTCACGCGAGGCTGAGCCGACGAAGAGGAGGGCGTCCCCGAACCGAGGACCTGCATGAGTCGTGTCAAAAGCTTAATGCTTCTTCCTCTGATCTATATCTAGAGATATAGATAGATATAGATATAGATAGAGATAGATAGAGATATCTATCTCTATCTCTAGATAGAGATAGATATAGATGGAGATAGATATCTCTATCTCTAGATGGAGATATCTATCTCTAGATAGAGATAGATATAGATAGAGATAGATATCTCTATCTCTAGATGGAGATATCTATCTCTAGATGGAGATATCTATCTCTAGATAGAGATAGATATAGATGGAGATAGATATCTCTATCTCTAGATGGAGATATATCTATAGATATATCTAGAGATATATCTATAGATAGAGATATATCTAGAGATACATCTAGAGATATATCTAGAGATATATCTATAGATAGAGATATATATATATATAGATAGAGATATATCTAGAGATATATCTAGAGATATATCTATAGATAGAGATATATATATATAGATAGATATATAGTTATATGGTTATGGAGATATATATAGAGAGATAGATAGATATATAGTTATATGGTTATGGAGATATATATAGAGAGATAGATATATATATAGTTATATATATATATATATATATATACGTATATATATATATAGTTATATAGAATATACATTACAGAAATCAAACATGGCATCAAAATATGTTCAGTTCTTACCTTAAAAGGATTCGCACGTCCAACTTTACCAACTGCAAAAGAATAAAAATTAAGATATCAAATTAAAATGGGGGGGGGGCGTCAACGTGAAATGTTTTAACCCTCACTTTAAAAAAAGAAGTTGCCCCGATGTCCTTAGAAGACAAAAACTGCCTTAAAAATATTATTTTAGTTTTAGATTAGTTTTTTGTACAGTCCTCTTGTTACCTTTAATGTACCGTTCCTAAAACTGCTATGGAAATATTATATACCAATATTATTTTTACTTTCACAGAGTTAAATCTTTAAACCAACTTCAGTCCTGATCATAGCAACGAAATAAACTAAAACAGCTTTGTCCTTAAGGGTCTGTATTTTATTCACAGTTTATTATAGACTATCTATAGGAGGCACAATATGTCCGTAGTGATGCAGAAAGGTTTAACGGTGTATTTACAATAAAACCCAAATTCTACTGTTAACATTTAAATAGATCTATATCTCCATATGAATATAGATATGAATAGATCCATCTACAGGTGGTGTGTACTCACTTGGAGTGAGAGAAGGAATCACCGGCGAAGCAGCTTCTTTAACAAACGGAGTCAGGCCTGCAGGATGAGACGTGTCCCACATTAAACACTCAACATCTCGTGCAGAAAACAAACGCGTGTAAAGAGAGTTACAGAGATGCAAACTCACGTTTTCTGGTTTCTGCTTCCTCGCCCGTCTCCATCTCCTGTGCATCCTCCTCCTCTTCCTCCCTGAGCTCTTCTACTCGCTCCTCTTCCTCCTCCCGTTGACGTCCTCCCGTGACCTCGTACCTGTCCGAATAGGAAACTCGTGAATCAAAAATCTCTTCCGCTCTACTGAAGCGTCGTAGCTTCGGAATCCTTTAGCATTTCATTTTTTGCCATCACCAAGTCCGATCCGGTTCTAATATTTACTTAAAATACATATCTGCACCAGTCTTAAAACTACAGGTGAGAACTGGAATAAGTGCGTCACGCCGTTACCCAGAGGGCCGTCTGACGGCGGCGTGTTCCGGCTCTTCTTCCTGTTCCTCCGGCTCTTCCTCCTGGATCTGGTTGGCCTTCTCCAGGGCGATCTCGCTGAGCCGCTGGGCGAGCGCCATGCGTCTGGAGCGCGACGCGTACCGAATGGCCAGAGTCACCACGTTCTGGGTCATGAGCTCTGCCAGCTCCACGCAGCGGAACTCTCTCTCCAGCTTACAGGACAGCTGGAAGGAAACAACGACGACGCGTCTCAACACAAACGGCAGCGACGGGAAATAAAACGAGGCAGAAGCTCTGAAGTCCTGATGAGACAGAGAGCGCTTCTGCAGCCTGAGGAGGATTCACGTGACTGTTTTCAATGTGAGTGAAGCATCTCGTGTTGCTGAGCGGCTCACGTTTTTACATGAGCACCCTGAACGCCTCACGATGAAAACAATTACACTAAAAAAAGAAAGTAACATTTCTTCTTACAATTAAAAATGACAAAGTAATATAAACTGTTCCCTCTTTACTTAAGATTTCATTAAACTTATTTATAAATCTTTTTGTTTTACTCATTGTGAGCTACATATGACTTTGCTAAATACAGTTCCAATAATCTGAACAGAGACTAATTAATGCTGTACTTTAAATATCGTGTCAGTTGTTTTTATTAATTTAAACTTTGATATTCACTATCAGGTAGTGTACAGTTCATGCACATCAACCAAATGTAAAAATAAATAAATAAATATATTATGTTTATTATTGTTATTATTATATGGTTATAAAAATATAATTACATCATATAAATATAATATATATTTATATATTTATTTACACAAACTGCAGTACGCTGTCTGATCAGGCTTTTGATCGATGATGGTAAAATAAGAGACTCACTGCGAACATCTTCATGAGCAGCTCCTGCTGCTCCTTCTGGGACTGAGTCCGTCCGTCCTCGTCCACCTCGTAGCCGCTGGACGACAGGAAGCTGAAGTGGTTGTGGAAAAGGACCGAACGCCAGTACTGCTCCTGGAGGAGGACAGAGGAGGCGGAAGAGGACCGAGGAGGACAGAGGAGGTGAAAGAGGACAGAGGAGGACAGAGGAGGTGAAAGAGGACAGAGGACAGGTGAGGCCTTTACACACAAACTGTTGTTTTTGTCATGAGAAATTTCATACAGGACGCAGCATAAAAGTTAATTCTTTGCAATAGTTTTGATGCAAAATATTTTTGAGAACTTCTATTTCATATCTTTAATGTGTACATGAATATTAGGAGTCTTTTATCAGGTTACAGGTCAGATATGTCGCCCGTACTCCATGTTGTGTCTCTTACTCTAATCTGGGCAGATGTTAGCGTGTGTTAGCATGTGTGCAGTTTGATCAGAGCGAGCGGTTTACCTCCATCAGTCCTTTCTCTGTGGAGGTCTGACACAGAGGCAGCTTGAAGGGCAGGATGGCCACAGCCGGTCTGGGCAGCGTGGGAGGATACCTGGAGCCTTTGCATGGAATACACCTGAGAGGACCAGAGCAGAAAAACGTCTGACACATTTGACTTTCTGCTCTCATCGTCTGTCTTTTCAATGACTTTGTAATTAGTCAACTGTTTTACAGTTTTTTCCAGGATGATTTGTAAACATATATATAAACCTGCTGCCAGTTTGCTCCTTTGAAACCTATCTTGTGTTGAATTTAAAGCATTTCTTAAGCACTTATAAAACCATATTTTCTGCCATACATTTCATTAAGCGTCCTATTTTAAGTGAAAGTGTTTGAAAGGAGAGTTCACCTGAGCTGCTGAGGGTTCTCGTGTATCCCGACCACCCAGTAGTGGTCTGACTTGCTTTTGCAGGTTTCTCTGGTGTTGCACACTGGTGTCCAAGTGTTGCCGAGAGAACGGTTCAGCATCCGGACGACTCCATCCGAGTCCACATAGCACGGGGTCCCTGCGAGAGAACCGGGCCCATGTCTCACAAGTCAAAAACAAGGTTTTCAAAACCGTTTGTTTCTGCTACTTTAACAAAACAGGTTTCCAAGAGAGTAAAAACACATGTTCTCTACAAACGGACCCTCGGCAGTGAATCCCAGCCAGCACAGGTGGGACCTGTGAGACAGAGGGAGCGGCTCGCCGTTCATGAGCTGCTTCTTCCTTCCACCGATCTGCAGCAACTGGACTCCCAGAGCTTGTTCCCCGTCAAAACCTGGAGCTGACGACGGAGAGACGAGAACCGACGTTGGGTCATTTACTATCATGTATCTGCTGGTTATTTCCCAAAGCATCAAAGCTGTTACGCTTTTAAAGGAAGCTACTGGTTTCAGTTCATTTCTGTGCACTATGACTGTGAGACTTTAACCGTCGATCACTGAGAAATAACACTTTCACTAAAAAACAGAGTTTTAAGAACTAAAGTGATGCAACAGACATGATGTTTACTGAACTCGGGCATCTTCAGAGTCCTTAAATGGTTAATTAAACCATAAAAACATAAACTGCTATTAAATTGTCCGCTGTAGAGCTGTACCCCGTCATGTTTTTTGTTATTGCGATGATATAAATGTAGTTTATGGTGCTGCTAGATTGCTGCTGGACTGCCTAAACTGATAAACAAATCAGTTGAAAGCAGTGAAAAATACCAACAAATATGGATTTCAGCAGAATATTTTGATGGATAAAAATGTTGAGACAGACAGACAGACAGTGAGTGTGTGTGTGTGAGTGTGTGAGTGTGAGAGAGTGTGTGTGTGCGTCCTACCCCGGTGGTAGACGATGAGCAGCTGCTCTCCGTGTCCGACCATACAGACCACGTTCCCCGGCAGGCTGAAGATTTCCCTCTGCACTCCTCCGATGGAGAAGAGTCTGAGCATCAGCGCGCTGGTGGCGACCGCCGCCCAGCCCTGACCGAGACACAGCGCCCGCACGTCCTCGCCCGGCGGCAGGTCCACCATCCACTCCTTATTGGTGTCCCAGGATGAGAAGTGGAAGCACTGGAGCTTACTGGAGGAGGAGCACGATGAGGAGACGTAACCGCCAAACAAGTCACAGAGAACGGGGCGGACGGAGGATTTTACCTGGCGAGCTCATCCGTGCTGGGGCAGGCCAGCAGCACGGCCTCCTGGGAAAGATCGACCACGCTGTGACCCAACGAGTTGGTGAGGTGCATGGCGTGGTGCACGGCGGTGTCGTGAAACTCCACGTCAATGGCGTTGTCCTGCTCGTCGTTGTAGCCTCGAACGATTCCCACCGAGTTCCACATCTGAGGAACAATTAGTTTGTTACGACATGCGAGACTGGAAATCATTTTATTTTTAGGGAGTTTCGGAACGCTGCACGTCATGTGACGAGGAACAACCAATCACAGCAGGCAGATTTATTGTCTTTCTTCCGTAAATATCAGTCTACGGTCGATATACGGAGGAGAAGTTACTCATTTTAGTTCAGGGCTACCCGGAGCTCTACATTCTGTCCCACAGGATACTTCACGACGTCACAACATCCGGTTAAAAAGGTGAAACTGCAGCTTTACTGCTCCGTGTGTCGTCTTCAGTGAGTCTTCAGTTACAATGCTGGAAATCCATTTAGCTTCGTTTCGTTTAGTCAGTGAGGCTAACTGCTAAGTTACCCCTCGTCATCGTCATCTTCTTCACAATGCAAAGGTTTAGCTGCTTCGTATCGGCAGGCATGAAAGCAAAACATCCCCAAGCAAACCATTTGTTGACAGAATTTGGTTTTTGAAAGGCTAACAAATATTAAAGCTTAATATTTCTTGAGATAAACACAATGTACATTTTGGAAATGACACCTTTTTAATAAAAAATGTTTGCATCCAAGCACGCCGGATAAAAGGGTGAACGGCCCCTTTAGCAATAAAAATAACAGAGTAAAAAATATTAAACATAAAAAAATACAAATATAAAAATTCACAATATATACAATGAAATACAATAATATCAAAATGAACCAAACTAAACAAACAAACACTGTTGTTTGTTTGACTGTCTATCTCAGCGGCCACACTACAAAATAAAAAGGACCTGAATGTACCATGAAGCGGTGCGTGAGGTGAGCCGGGGTGGAGCCCGGCTGAAAGGCCTTCTGGGGGGGCGTGGGCAGCGGTCCCTCATAGACGGGACGAAGGGGACCCAGCGGGGGGGCGGCCAGAGCGGCGGCGCTGCTGTCCTCATCGTCCCCGAATTTGTCCCAACCGACCTTCAGCGAGCCGGTGTCTGAAGAAAAGAAACAGTTACAAAAAAAAAAAA